TATAATAGCTGCAGTGGTCACAAATGCAGGCATGTCCCACAGTTGTCTGCATAATTAAATTTATTCAGACTGGGCACAGCAGAAATGCACTGAAGGTCCACTCTATGTTAACAAATCTATAAAAGGTTCCAGGCCAAGTATGACTGTGCGGGAGATGCAGTTTATCTGCAGTGCTTTTTTCTTTTCTGATCCTCCTTCCCTGCTTAAATAGGACTTCACTGGCAGCCAGTGCCTTTGGATCTCTCCTAATCTATAATGGCAGAAGGAAAACTTTTGAAGGGATTTATTAGAGTCTGCTAACTTACCTAATTCTCACTGATGTGTTAGTAATATATCAAGTGAAGTATTTGGGGCTTAATCTCGAAATATGATTTCTGATGATAGAATTTTTGGTAATCTGCTCTACAGATAGATGTCACATATGTTGGGGCAGAGTTGGTCTTTCATCCCTCACATAATATGGAGGTGGTCCCTTAATACCTCGAATACAAGAATAATATTATAACTCTCTATAATTATAAAACAAAATGTCCTTGCAGCATGGAAGAGAAGCACATATATTCCAGCTGAATATACAATTATAAAATGATACCGAAACTATTATTCCCCTAATGAAACTTTATTTAAAGTCATATACCCATTTCCAAATCTATTTTTTTTTCTGATATGGATATGCTAGACTTCAAAATTACAGCAAAATTAACCTACCCTCCATGTTGCTACCTGATATGGTTTGAATCTGTGTCCTCAGCAAAATCTCACTTTGAATTTTAATCCCCAGCGTTGGAGGTGGGGCCTGGTGGGAGGTGGTTGAATCATGGGGCGGATTTCTCATGAATAATTTAGCAGTATCCTCTTGGTGCTGTCCTCATGGTAGTGAGTGAGTTCTCAAGAGATCTGGTGTTGAAAAGCATGTGGGGCCTCCCACTGCTCTCTCTTGCTCCTGCTTTTGGCATGTGAGACGCTTACTTCAGCTTTGCCTTCTGTCATGAGGAAAATCTCCCTGAGGCTTCCCTAGAATCTCAGCAATGTTGCTGCCATGCTTGTACAGCCTGTAGAACTATGAGCCAATTAAACCTCTTTTAAAAATAAATTACCTAGTCTCGGATATTTATTTATAGCAATGCTAGAATGAACCAATACACTACCCCTTCTTTATTTCTCTTTCATAGGCATATTCAGTAGTTAAGGTAAGTTTCCTTTAAAAGTGACTCTTTAGTCAAATGCCTCCCACAAGTCACACAACTATCACAATGCATCACACATACACACCCAACAGAACTCCTGGATCAGGTTTGCCGTTCTCAATACAACATACTATTGTAATGTAAAAGCAGCCTCAACTTTTATTTCAAATGAGAAGTTTTGCATATCTTCATCTCGGTTGTTGAGTCCTGCCTTCAAATTTAATTCCACTGGACCTTCTTCAGAGCAGTGAATTTGGCAATTAATAATTTGTTCATAACCATTTGAGATACCTTTATGTGTTAGGTCATTTGGGTATAAAATATGTACAAAATGTTTACCTGGCCTTTTTATAACATTCAGTGTTCACAGCAAGCTTTCGCAAAAATATATTCAAATGAATTATGCATTCCGTTGTCCTAGAGCATGGACAAGAGGAGCTTGGCACAGGGGAATACCTATAATTTCACCGTAAGAAGAAAATAAATGAGAAAAACAGGCAGAGGGATTGGGATAAGGAAAAGCATAGATATGTGGAAGTGTGTTAAAATTCCAATGGCCTCCAAACCCGGAATCCATTAAAATTATCCAGGGAGCTTTTTAAAATTTATATTTCTGGGTTCTACTAAAAAAGCAGAGAATCTGGAACTTGTGAATAGAAGACCCAGAAATCCACATTTAATAGAAAGTGTACTGCTAGCCTAGCCAGTTTTGAGAACTCATGATCTAGTTTGCTGAGTGCATTTATTCCTCCAAAAAGTATTTATGGACCTCCAATTATGCATCAGACATGGTTTTAGATGCTTGGACAAAGTAGACAACAATCGTATTATTGTGTAGCTTACATTCTGGCAGTGTGAGGCAGATACTATTCTAAGTACAATATGTGGAGTAACCAAATTATTTTGTACTAAACCCCTATCAAGTCTTCATTTCCCTTATGAGGCAAGCTAAGGCACAAAGAGTTTAAACAATTAATCTAAGGTTGCATAACTAGCAGGAGAGAGACCTGGAATTCTCAAATGCGATCTAACTCCAGACCTCTCATGCATGGCTGGCTACATATTTTGCAAGGCCCAGTGCAAAATGAAAATGCAAGGCCATTTGTTCAAAAAGCAATAAAAAGCACTGTTAAAGGTACTAAAATGCAAAGTGCTTTTCTTTCTTTTGTGTCCTCTTTCTCAACTTATTTTTAATTTGAGATTTAATGTGATTCTAAGAAAGCAAAATTAAATTTTAAATTATTAGTATGACAGGTATCTGTTGTTATATTGTACAATATCAGTTTTAAATGCAAGTATAAGAGCATTTAGCACATATGCAGCATCAATTAAATCATAAAATTTGTATTTTATTATTACAAAACAATGGAGATTCTTCACAAAAACATCTCAGTTGTTTCTATTTTATTGGAGATATATATATACACACACACATATATATATATGTATATATATATATATAAAAATTTTTTTTTTGAGATGGAGTTTCACTCTTGTTGCCCAGACTGTAGTGCAATGGCATGATCTCGGCTCACTGCAACCTCCACCTCCTGGGTTCAAGCTATTCTCCTGCCTCAGTCTCCCGAGTAGCTGGGATTACAGGCTTGCATCACTATGCCCTGCTGATTTTGTATTTTTAGTAGAGACGGGGTTTCTCCATGTTGGTCAGGCTGGTCTCGAACTCCTGGCCTCAGGTGATCCACCCGCCTCAGCCTCCCAAAGTGCTAGGATTACAGGCGTGAGCCACCATGCCCGGCTGGATAGACACATCTATTATGTCAACAATCTCTACCTTCCTCTTAATGGATGAGTAAGGAAAGGATTGAGAAAAATAGGAACTATGTGTTATCTTTTTAGTTCCACTGTTTTCTATGTCATCATTTATAGTGTGAGTGGTTTGCTAATACCTGGCAAGTAACATGAGTAAGAAAGGATATGATGTGGTTCTTTTGTCATTTGTATATCTTGGAGTCATTATTCCTTTTTATGATTGAAGAAAGTTTTGGTCCATATGGACAGTGTGGCCTCTCTTGGCTTCCAGCTTCTGCACTCAAACACAGTTGTAAACACAAGTAACGTAATTATTTTACATTCACTTTGAATCAGGCTGTACTTTCATGCATTGTGGATCTACCAAAATTCTGAGATCATGATGTATTGTAAATGCTATGTGGGAAATGCATGGAAAAAAGTAGGGTACATGTGTTTTGTGCGTATCTTCTCTGCTCACACAGGCTCTGTTTTCCCATAGGACTTCAATAAAACACCAGTTCAAAGATGAAATTATTTAGTGTTTCAAGATGGCTGCAGAACAGCATAAAACCAAGCATGGTGCCCCTCTTAGTCCCGCTGTAAAACTTCACTGCTCACATGCTCATGATATCAGTCCTATCTTTGGGTTTAACTGCTACTCTATACTACATCCTGTATAAGGTGGCTCAGGTTGACCCTCAATCCTTGTTATTCTTGTCTAAGTTCGTTCCTGTGTATAATGTCTCTTTTGTAGTATAGTGACTGTGATCAACTGTAATCCTCTACAGCTGGTGTTCTCAGACTAGAAAGCACTATTTCCTCGCTTAGACATTCGCACTAAATGGATTCCTAAACTTTGTAATTTGCACAGTTGCAGTGTTCTAACTCATTCTCCTTCTTTCACTATTCATTCCCACTACCTATCATAATATTACCTCTATTATTATGTGCCAGTGTCTCTTCAAAGTGCTTCTTTTAATCCTCACAGCAGTGCTAACAGAATATACAGTACCTTATATGCATAGGTAGAATAGTGGCTCCTTAAGATGTTCACATATCATAGTTCCTTGAACCATTAAATATGTTACATTACATATCAAGAAAGAATTACAGTTGCAGATGAAATTAAAATTCATAATTAACTGATCTTAAAACATGGAACTTACTCTGGATTATCTACTGGGCCCAATGTAACCACAAGGATCCTTAAAAGTGGAAAAGGGGAACAGAGGAGGAGTTGGAGTGATTCCTTGTGCGAAAGACTCAACCTATCATGGCTGGTTTAGAAGATGAGAGGGAGCCATGAGTCAAGGAATGTTGACAATCTCTAGAAGTTGGAAAGACAAGAACACAGATTCTTCCCTATAGCCTCCAGAAAGGTATGTAGCCCTCCCGACACTTAGATTTTAGCCCAGTAAGGCTTGCATCAGACTACTGTCCCCTGAACAAATGTCTTACATTTAGAGTTCTCGTTATGTTTCTGTTGAATAGAGGTAACATAGCCCACTGCTTTATAAATAGTAGTTAGCAAATGTTTTTAAATAAAGAATCAAAGAATCACTTTCAGGAAATAATAGCCTCTTTTGTGAAGTGTTCATAATATTCTCAATGTTTAACATATACCTCTACTTCCAATAAGAAAAAGCAACTAGGGAGTGTGAACCAAACGAAAGTTTTGTAAAAAGTGAAAAACCTAGCAGTAACCTCAGACAAGCAGCTGTCCTGGACATTTTGCATTCCTCATCCGTCTTTTTTTTTTTTTTTTTTTTTTTTGCAAATTATGCTCCAAGAAGATGTTGCATTTATCATTCTAAAACATGAAAAATATATTTCAAAGCTACTGTCAAGAGGCCACATAAGTCTTGAAGACATTTATTTGCCAGTGTTCTGTACATTACTGCCTTTTTTATGCATTGCTGGCAATTTTTTAAAGAAAAAATAGGGAGTTTAAGTAAGCCTTATTAAAGCTTGCAAAGAAAACATCAACTAAGACCCATTAACTTCATTAGGAACCAGCAATTAGCTAAAGTTGTTAATTATTTAAGGAGCTTCTTATTATACCTGCCAACCTGAAATCCCACGTTGAATAAAATGTATATCTTCCCTAATTTGGCTCTCAGGTTGCGTGTTTATATTTTGCAGTCTTCCAGGATCCTCCGTGATATACGTAATTTTTTATGTTTCTTCTTCCTTCATTGCGTGCTAATTCCTCTCACCACTGCTTTCACCTCTGCCAGGTCCTGAAAGAGAACAGGTAGTTTTCACTACAGAGAAGCTACCAATCCAATATTCTCTGCATAATTTATATGTACAGCAGGGGAAAATTAGCAGCATACTTCCACTGTGTCATTTACACAGTTATCCTCAATCACTCTTCCCTAAAGCCACCACCATTTTTATTTCCAAGCATTGCCTTTTCCCCCTGTGTCTTTCATTCCCTTCTTATCTATTGGGTTATATTCCCATAGGCCCACCTGAAAGTCTGTCAAACTAGTTCCTGATCTTCAGTCCTAGTTTGTTTTGACATCACAGGCTAACATGAAACACAAAAGAAAACATACTGCTCTTACCTTCAATCTTTTTATGAAAAATCATGAATTATGCAAGCTCTGAATTTTATTCTGAAAGTTTTATTTTTATCCATCATCTATAGCTTCGACTTTAGATATTAATTCTAAAAATAAAATATCATTGGCTGATTTACCGTTTTGTAATTAACTGTAAATAAAACATCTACCTATAACTGATTACATCAACCAATCTAAATGCTCTTTCTTGTGGTGCTTCTAATACCCCCACACCTCATCATCTCTCTTGCCTCTATCTGCCTATTATCTTTTGGGTTTTCTCACTTTACTTCCAAAATAGCTATAAGTGTACTTAGGTAATTATTTTATTGAGGAGACTCAGCTCTTTCATGCATATGCATCAAATTGTATTATTTCTTCCTGTAGTTCAACTGAACTTTCCTTTATCAACTTCCCCTTTCCCATTAATCAGTGGGTCTGTTAATTACATTTTTGCAAGATGCCATACATTTTTCAGTTAGTATCATTACGTGGGCCCATTGTAACATGTAAGACTCAGTTTTATGTTTTCAGTTGATGAAAACATCTACCTCAAACAATGGTCAAACTCATTTTCTCCTTCTCACTGTGTAGACTAATAATGCACTAAGCTCCACAAGCTAGTAAAGAGGAAGGAATAGGCATGGCATGGCCTTGAAAGAGTTCCTCCCCCTTTTCTCTTCAGGGCAGTAATCTCTGCAGGATTGGCGGCTACATGTCAGGATAGAGGCAGCAGAGGTGAACTTACTTGACCACAGGAACTGGCAGTAGGGAGGTGTCCCTGGCCTCACCCTACTTTTGGCAAGTTTAATCTCATCATGGTGGGCCCTGCTGATGCGAGGCTCTCTGGCAGCGGCAGCTTCATGGAAATGCTGTGTTTCCAGGTGCACAAGGCCCCATGCTTAGAAGGGCCTGCACTTGGCAGAGTGGAAATGCTGTCTTTCCAGTTGCACAGGGCCTCATGCTTAGAAGGCCCTGCACTTGACAGAGTGTTCTGCTCTGCCATCAGGAAATTCTTAATTTTTGAACAAAAGGCCCAACATTTTCATTTTGCCTGGGCCCATGAATTATGTAGTTGGTCCTGGTCTTTGGGCACGTAGTGGTCTTGCTTTTCTCTGAATACTATTCAACTCCATAAAAAAAAATCATGCTTTATTAAGGATGCCCGCAAAGGGGAAACCCTCTCCCATTGCAAATGTCAGGCACAACACCTCATCACCCACTCAGTGGGGCATTCCATCCCTTGTCCTGTGATGCCATGAGGTTATTTACTTCCCGTGAATGTTTCTTCACATTAGCTATTGAAACTGATTGGATCATTTTCTTTTTTCTTTCTTTACTTAAAAAAATTATATATATATAATTTAAATAAATATGTATACACACATATACGTATATGTTTGTGTGTATCTATGTGTGTATATACATATGTGTGTGTGTTTTCTATAGCCTCTAAAAATCACTAAGAACAGAAATACATGGGGGTTGCCCTCATCCATTCTCTTTCCAGACATAATATGGTGTAATTCCTTTTAATAAGAAATATGAAACTTAAATAAAAGTTAATCAACATAGATAAGTATTTAGGAATTGAAAAATTTGTATTAGGGCATTTGACTGCACTATTTTAATTCTTTCCTAGTTTTATGCCACAAATTATGCCAATGTGCATAGCAACTTGTTTTAAGCTCTTCTTTTATTTAGTTGAAAGTGAAGAGTTGGAAACAATCTTACTTAGAAATGAATGTTAACTGTTCATCAGAGTCATTCACTTTTAAAACTTTTTTCTCTAATATTTCCATTCGTCTTTTTGGTACCACAGAGGAATTTGGTACCCAAAGCAACACATGTAATTCAGATACAGAATAGGTCAAAGATAGGCTTTACCTTCGTACATTTGAGAAGAATGATTGTGAAAAGGGTAAAAAGCTAATATAACATTAATTTAGGAAAGAATACAGTTGGTATATCACTGAATTAAATTACCTCCTGCCATATCAAACCAAAATGAGGTCTATAAAGGATAAGCTACTTCTGAAGATTTCATAACCACTGTATTCTTCCAACATGAAATTAATATTTAGTGAGCACCTAATGCATCGGAAGATGAGGATTCAGAGATGAACAAGACATATTTTCTGCATTCATAGAGCTTACAGTTTAATGGAAGATATTGATTCCTTAATGCAGACGTTCTATTTTGCCATGAAGTTCAAGGGCAGCATATGACCGATAGTCTCTGGCAATTGGTGATATAAAATGGAGAGGCAGAAGACAAGCAGAGCAACAGAATCACAGCACTAGAAGAAACTTTCGTGAGCTTTCTTATTATTGTCAGTTTACAAAAGAAGCCACCAAACACAGACCCAAAAAATGACAAGTGATTTTCCCAAGGCCCCTGAGTAAAATGGCCTCCACTGTTTTTGTCTGCCCTGCATTCAATCCTCCTCCTTTTGGTAATGACATCCTATCCTTGTTTGGAGGTATTAGCCCTCCTACACTGGCTATAGTCTTGTAAACACTGCCATTCAAGGAAAACTGTCCTCCTCAGCCAAGCATAAGTATGTGTCTCAAACCAGGATAAGCAACCTCTCCCTATAATTGGTAACGGTTGGGGGTAAATCTTCTCAACAGTTTTCCAAAGAAAACTCTCTATTGTTCTTGATACTTAAGCATGATTGACTAAAAATGACCATAAATTATTTGCAATCCTTTCCTATGAGAAGTGGTTATTTCTCCACCCATTGAATCTAGGCTGAACTTGTAACTTGTTTTGACCAACGGAATGTGACTGAAATGATGATCTGCAAATACCAAGTCTAGTCATCATGGAACTTTGCAGCTTCCCCTCCACTGTTTTGTAATGCCACTGCCATGTGAAGAAACCCAAGCTATTCTCCTAGAGGATGAGAAACGACATGAAGAGAGAGACCCAGAGACAGTCACCACCAACATAAGACATGTGATTGAGACCATCTCTCACCCAACAGACCCACTCACCAGTAGCCACTTAAGTGACCTCAACAACTCAACTTTAAAAGAAAAAAACATGTATCAGCAATTCTAACCAACATCGAATGCATGTGTTTCTAAGTTTTTGATTATTTCTTATTTCACTTTCAACTAAATGGAAAAATAACCTACTAAACCTAATCTAAGTTGTCATCTGATAGATAATTAAATAATTATGTCTGATAAAACCTTGGTATGATTTTGGGTATATGCCTAGCAAGAAATTAAATAATTTGAGCCCACCCCAAATCATTGACCCACAGACTAATAAGCAACTAAGATGATGGTTGTTTTAAGCCACTAGTTTTTGGTATAGTTTCTCACATTCTCAAAATGTTATTTAGTTATTTACTCTGTTATCTGCTCCACTCCAGGTAGGAATTAATTTCTTTTTTGGTTAGTAATCCAAAATCAGACTTTCTTGTTTACAACATAATTCTTGAGGCACACACAGATTTAAAAGAATGACCTTCTAGGCTTCCCAGGTGAAAATCCAGGATTCCTTTCTCATATTTTCTGTTGATTTCAAAGAAAATAAATAAACCCACAAGTTTTGCAGAAATGAAATTCATATAACTGAAAGTGCTTTGGGAACAAAGGGAGAAGTCAGTCAATTGAGGGAGGAGCAAATTAACTTAACTCAGAGACTTACTGTTAGTCCTTCTGTCAACATGATCACCCACAGGACTCCCTCATCTCCCTTGGAGCTGGCACTCCTTAATTTTTTTGGAGGTATCATATAGAACAAACGTATATGAAAACTTCATATCTAGAAAGGTAGAAAAAATATAAATAATATATTTCCAAGATACCTACAATGCAATTTTTTAATGATTTCTGTACATTCTGTTTCCACAACTTCAGGAAAATTAAGGTAATGCTATAGGATAATCTCATTACCTCAAAGTGCAAAGCCATTAGAGACGATACAGTGCTAAAGGAGAGTTCAATTTAATCCATATTGACCTTCTACAGGACAAGTTTCATGACAGTGTAAAATATGAGTCATTTTCTCTCTAGAGCACAGCACATGGTGGACACACAAAATGTATGTGTTGAATAAATGACTGGTGAACTCAATAGGTAACTAATTTCAAATAGCTGGCAGACTGCTGGGCACAGAATAGAGAAACTCAATGTTTTATTTTATTGAGAATAAATGAAAGAAATAGTAATAGGATTAAATGAACAACTTAATAAGGCAAGGGGAAATGACAATGTGGCATATAGTTTAGGTATGATCTTTTTCCAGAAGAGATGAAGAGCTTCTTCTAACCATGCTGGGCAGGATATGTAACTTGGGTTGACCTGCATTGTTTTCTAAAAAGGTTTTCCTTATATTTGTGCAAAATGGCCTTTAGAAACATCATTAGTCATACTACAAAGAAAAACCTATGGAAACGTCTCCAAAGAACTGAGAGTACACTTTTTTGGTTACACTCATTCTTTTCAGCTGAAAAGGTATCACTAAGTTTGTATTAGTTTTTCCAGTTTCTTGCTATAGCTGTTGGTGGACAAGGAAAACACTTTGTGTTTGCATCTGACATGCAAGTGAGAAGGGGTTAGATTATACTCATTAAATGATCAAAGCTTCAATATTTTAAGATAAACTGACTTACCTAAGGGGGTTCATGGGACCTTAAGAGCAACGAAGAGAATGTTATAGTCCATTGTCCTCAGGTAAGAACCAATGTTTTTCTTGTTGTTTTGTAAGGCTCTGGCTACTTGCTCTTTAAATTTGTTTGCCAAATAACATGGTTAAAGTCCATAATGCAAATTTTGATTGTACATATTTATATCTCTCATTCTTCATATGTGTTCTGTCCCTTACATTTCATAAACATATTCACTCTTTATCTTACAGAAATGCTGTAATGTATATGTTGCCTTGACTAAAAGACAATGTTCTATTTAAGATGTTCATGGGCTGAACTTCCTGTGTATGCTGAAACCTCATTTTCCTATGGCATTATCTTTTTTTATTTTTATTATTTTTATTTTTTTTACCATACATGTACCCCTTGTCTAGCCCTTATGGTGAAATATAAGCTTTCAAGCCCCAGCAAGACCCTTTGCAAAGTATAATTTAACACACAATTGATATAACCCAGTCTCCCTGAATATGACAACCTTTTGTAGCTAAAATATCATTTTAGTAATTCAATCAATTACACTTAGTCACACTTAGTCTGTCTTCCTTTAATTGATTACCAAGTAGCTAATTTGAAACATCATAAATTCAAAGTAATAAATAACATCTTGTTTTTCACTTATATTCAGGAGATAGCTTTGAGTACAGAAAAATCTGTCAAAATAATATTTGATTATCTTCTTTATATCCTCAAAGTTGCTATAAAATTAGGAGTAGATATTTTGTAAAATCCTAAAATGTCCTCAAATCCAAATTCCCTATGATCTCTAATATAATAGGAGTATAATATATAATGAAGGAGGCCACTGAATTCACAACGAGAGGGAAGAGAAATAAAAAATGAGGAGTGTATAGCTAAAATATTTTGGTAATCTACATTTTCAATCTCTGGTCCTAGTCATTTTTCTTTTTTTTACTTTTTTAAAATTTCTAATGTTCAAAACAATTATAGAGAATAAAAAATACCTTTGAACGGGCCCGGGAGCTTCATCAAATTTTAGAGTTTTGTCATATTTGCTTTAGATTTTTCAGTCAAAAAAATTTACATGTATAATTTAAGTTCCTGGATAACTCTCCCTGATCTCATGCTATTTCCTTCCTGCACATGGTAACCATTCTCCTAAAATTTTATGAGACCAATTCCCTTGCTTTTATTTCCTTCCTAGTGTTTAAAAAATCGTGCAAAAAACATTTACTGAGTGCCTATGGAATGATGTTTTAGGTCCTAAGCAGTACCCAAAACTTTTGGCTACCTATGAAAATATAATATTTTAATGTTTTTGGTGTAACTATATTGGACATGTAATTTCCATACTTTCCTGTTTTCACTCAGCATTGTGTTTTTGAGATCAGAACATGCTGATACTGCTCCTCTGGTTCATTTATCTAACTGGCTGGATAGTATGTCATAGTGAATATATGAGTTTATATTTTCTCCTGTTGATAAACAATTTAATCATGTCTAAAGTTTTTAATAAAAATGCTACAACGAACATTTGTTTACATTTCACTTTTCACACATGTGATAGAGAAGATATATACCTTAAATCAGAATCTCTGAGACAAATATTTACAACTGGAAATCTATTAGAAACTGTCAATTTGCCCCAGGTTAGATGCAAGAATTTACAAAGGTAGCACATGAGCATTCCTCAATAAAATTTCCTAGAGTTGAGACTATTTACCTAATATGAAATAGTATCTTTGTTTTAACTTTCATTTTCATTACTAGCAGGGATGAGTATAGATTATACATAAAATATATTGTTGTTCATTTCAGTTTTCTTCTAAAATGTTTTTATGACTATTTTGCCATACTCTTCAGTTGTGTTAGGATTTGTTTTTTGTTTATGTTTTTCTTATCGATTGCATAAGTTTATAAGTATTGGTTATATAATTTAAACATAATTTTTCTTGTGGCAATGTATGTGAACCATATCTTCTTTCCATTGGATTTGATTACCTATTATCTCTGTTTAGAATATTTTTGTTGAATAGAAAATTTAATATTATTTAAATTAACATTTAAATATATCAAACTATTCCTTTCTACTTTTGTAGTTTCTTTAACATATTTTATATCTGGAACTTATTAACAAATTACCCTAAATAATCATCTAAAGATTTTAACATTTAACTTTTCACATGAAGATCATTATCCACATGGAATTCGTTTTTATTAAGGATACTGACCCATCGGGTTGATTATTAAGTATTCCATTTTCCCATCAATATTTAAGTGACCCTCTTACATTTCAAATTTTTATACATGTGAAAATGTCATTTATCATTTTCTGATCTCTCCAATATGTTTGGTAAAGCTACAAGTGTCTCTTTATCAATACCACATTATCATAATTAGATTCAGTTTTTAATGGGTCAATATCTGTTAGGGTGAATCTTCTAGATTTTTGTTTTGTTTTGTTTTGTTTTTGTGGGGAGGTTTGGTTCAATTTTTTTTCTTTTATACAGATGGGATCTCCCTATGTTGTCCAGGCTAGTCTCAAACTCCTGGGCTCAAATCTTGCTTCCACTTGTTGAGATTATAGGTGTGAACCACAGCACCTGGCTAGTCCAATTATTTTCAAAGCTGTCACTTTGCTCTTTCATAGTAAATTTAGAATAAGTTAGTCAAATTTAGAAAACAATTAGTTACATTGTTGATTGAAATACTTATTAAATTTATAAATTAAGTTTTGAAATTTGATTTCTTTACAATGTTGTCTTCTGATTCATGAACATTGTTCGTCTCATACTTTATTTAGATATTCCTTCATGTCTTAGAAATGAGCTTTGTAATTTTCTTATAAGGAGTTTACGCATCTATTGCTAAATGTATTCCTAGGTATTCTAGGGTTCTTATTGCTTTGGTTGCTAGGGTTGCACTGCCATATATGTACTAATTATTTTGTTAATTATCTTGTGTCATTCACAGTTAATCATACATCATTTGCATGTAAAGGCAATTTTGCCTTTTTCTTTTCAACTCATATAGCTTTACTCCTTTTTTTATCTTATTTTGCAGGCTTAAACTCCAGAACAATGCAGAATAAAAGCAATATCAGAGGGCACCCTTGTCTTTTTAAAATTTAATTAGAAGACTTTTAATGTTACTCCATGAATTTGATTTGCATCTAATATTTCTAAAAATATATACTTCTTGATAGTATGAAAGATTCTTCTTCATTAATTTTCTAAGTCCTATTATATTTGTGTAACTTTTGTTGCATCTGTCCATGTGTCTATGTTATGCTCCCATTGTGTCACTAAATGTTGCATTAAGTGAACCACGACACCAGCTCAATTCCGATGTTACCTGTGAAGACACTGGTTTCAGGAACTATAATTACTACAGAGTATATAGAAGTGGTCTTATCTTAGTTATTCACTACCTGTATGAATGTTTAGAATGTTTCCAACTGACCTAACTAAATTGCTTAATAATCTGTATATATGAGTAAATATAATCTTTGGCATTAATAATGCAGTTTTGTTATCCTTAGTATTATTAGGAAAGTTTTATGATATATTTTGCTTCCAGGAATCTTTCTTTGCATATGTAAAAGCTTCTGCAAAACAATACGCATTTTTCCCCGCTTAGAATTATGTGCAAGTTAGAAATTATTGAAGCAATAATGACTTAAAACTTAATACACTAGGTCAAAATTTTATGCATCAGTCATCAAAAGAGCTGAGAATTAGCAAGTTAGCATCATCTAATAACTATAATTTATTATATCAGTAACTTAAATAATTATTGCCACTATAAAAAACTGGTGAAAACAACACACTAATATTCTGTCATTATGAAATTATCTCTTATGTTCATAATAAACACTATTGGCAGGAAAAAAAATGATAAAAGTTTTTCTCTCAGTCAAGCTAAGATGTTAATTTCTATTTTATTAATGAAAAGGGTAATTTGATTCTTTGGATTAAGAAACGAATTCAATATTTCAGGTTAATACCACTCTGCAATATTTCTTTTAGGAGACTCTCTGCAGACTGCAAAAAGGACCTCATTTGAGTAAACTGAGTATGTGAATGCCCTATAGAGCTGTTATGGAGAAAGAGGTAATTTCCCTTTGCCCTTTTCCACTACTTTTTTTTTTT